ATATAAAAAAATGGACATAAAAACATTTTTATCTGGACCTGGATTAAGTTCAATATTTCCAATGACTAAAATACTATTAAACAGAAGTCTTAAATGTTGTTTCCAACAGGTTAAAACATATCCGTGCCTTTAGCACTAATGTCTTTTGTCCACTGATGAAAAACAGCATCAATAATTAGTAATAATAAAGAAAAGAAAGAATGAGGGGGAAAAAAGAAAGAAAAGCTGCGAGCGTCTAGACAGCGCTGATCAGGGCAAAGCCGCGCCAGACAAATTCATACACGGTGCGTTATGCAAAATACCAGACACTACAGTACATTAGGAGAGATTCTTTCCCTCGGAGACAATATGGATAGCTGACAATGACCATATTAAGCAGACTTTCACGGGTGAGTGGGGGAGCAACACAATCGATCAGATCACGAGCTGCGCGCAATGACGCGGCAGGCACAAGAATAAACAGCATAATTCACACCGACAAATGTGATCAAACGGTCTCTACGAGGGATTATCTGAGACACTGACGGGGAGAGAGAGGGAGGAAAAAAGTGTACAAGAGCCAAGCAGAGCAGCTTGGATCGTCAGCGCGCAGGTGGACTGAGTTTAAGGCAAATTTAAAGACTGGAACAACAGCCTGCATCCAAGCGCAGGTACGGTCTGAGGATGAACAGGAAAAGGAGTGTGAAAGATCAGACACACTCAATTCCCAAATCAATCYGAATCTGTTACTACCCCCCCTTCCACACACACTTCACAGTGTAGCTACTGCGCTTGCAAGTCGATTATTGATAACCAATCACACATCGAGTTAGCTGTCAATCAATGGGGTCTGACAGTGCAGGCTTGTTTTGCGTCTCAAGTCATCATCATGATGTCATCACGGCTCATAGAGGCTAAACTGGTGATTCTGGAGACAGCAGGACGAGCGAGAGAAAAATGCCTGATAAATGGCACAATTAACAGTTTAGTGGCGGAAAAAGGGACGAGATTTCTCCAAGAAAAGTGACGCGCGGTCATGTGCTGTCTGGCTCCCGGTGAAAACAACCCAGACCTCACGTCCTCCGACTGCGAGCTCCTGAATACTAACCAGACATGAGAGAGGTGGGGGGGCTTACGTCAACCTTACAATAGGCTACCGTGCGTCAATGCAAACTTCGACACCTTGCAGCGCAGTCAGGTAAACACTTGTTTTCAGTCAGAAAAAAAAAAAAAAGTCAGGCGCGTGGCTCCAACTCCGCGTGCCAAAAAGAGAATAAAATCAAATAAAGTCTTGTTTTGCTGCTGCTAACTTCAGCAGCAGAGGGGTTGAACGAGGACAAGCCAAGCGCTCCAAAAAACGCACGCAAAACATCCATATGGTGAATGAAAGTCCGCTGGATAAACAGAGRCAGACGCGTTCAAAGAAGCGGCTCTGGTGCCACTTGTCGCCGGGGAGCCTGCAGCCTCGTTCAGCCCCGCCGGCTCGGTACTCACCTAAGTTGCAGGTTCTGACTCCGTGTAGTGGACGGGGATTGGGGCTACAGCATAGTAAGGCAGTTCGCAGTACCCGCTCTCACTCAACACGCACTAACTCCTTTCTTCTCTCGCCTTAGCAAATCAACACGGAGCTGACGTCAACGCAGCCAGTCAGCCAGATGAGCAGCGGGCGGGCGGGCTGGCAGCCGCCGCTGCGCTCCGCTCTGTCCAAACACTGAGGAAGTGAGACACCTAGGGGGCTGTGTCATGTCAAACGGCTGTCTTCACTGTATGACAGTGGAAGGTGAGGGCCACCGCACCTCTGTCCAGATGTGTGATCGCAGGCAGTTACAGTCGCAAACAGGTGTTGGAGAACTCCAGCAAGGGACAGACCGAGYTTTACCCTGAAGCTCCTGAATCAGGAACTCCTCTGCCCACCACAACATTCTCCACTGACACTCTGAATGGTGGAACATCACCACAATTAAGATAAACCTCCCAGATTTCATTGTATAAGATGAAGAAAACATGTAAAAAATGTTAGAACAATGACTGAATTGATGAGTCACTTTATTTGCTTTATTGATCAGCCCATCATGAAAGCAGAGGTCTTTAAAGTACTTAAAAAATAACTAAGTAAAAGTAAAAAACACCTCAGCAGTGAATGACTTAGGTAAAAAAAATTCACTGATAAGAAAAATACTTAMAGTTATAAAACTGTTCACAAAAGTTGGGAAAGTAAAAGTACTTTTACACACTTCAAGAAATATACTGTTGRATTTAYTRAACCAAACTGGTTCCACTAAACCAAGTGGAGTACATTGAGCAATATCCACATTTTCTTTTAAAGAAAATTTGCTTCTTATTTTCTCAACTAGGTTTAGTGGAACCATGTTGACATGACTTGGTTAAATATATTAAACACTTACTTTTTTAGAGCACAAAAAACAAGTTCAGACATATTTAATTGTGTAACAAGTAACTATGTGTACAATTTTAAAGTACAAAAGTAAAAGTATAATTTTTAGGTTTTAAATGGAATGAAATAAAAGTAAATGTAAGGCTTTAAAAATAATTGGTAAAAATTACAAATCCTCAATTGCAGTTCAATTTCAACTCTGTTTATTTATATAGCACCAAATCACAACTGTTGTCAAAAACAAAAAATCTAAAAAAGGCAGCAGATTGTGTTTTGAATCCTCAAAGTTACTTAAGTACTGTAACAAAGTAAATGTATTTGGTTACTATAAACCTGTGCGTGAAAGTAACACGTCTTTTTTTAATTTTGTAAACAGCAATGCTTTAACAGTTAGCCAATTACTTTAATGCCTGAATCAAATCAAACGTTGACTARAAGTGCAAAGAAACTAATCGAAAAAACAGTAAAGATGTAAACCAAAGTAAATCGAAGCTTTKATGTTGGACAGGAGAATATCTGTTCTTTAGGTTTTGGTTGTGTAATTCCATCACCTCTTCTGTATCCAACAACATGTTTTTTATTTTAATTTTCTCCATTTCTAATTAAAGATCAGTCTAATCAATCATTCATTTTATTTATTTAGTTTAGCAGCCAGAAGGTACTTGGAGGGGTAAAGGGAAGGGGGGTTCATTCAATGCTATCAAGCTGTTTTCATATTTGTACCATTTCTGTCCATTTTCAGAGAAACATTATCGTTTGTGTGCAGCATAAATCTGATAGGAACCACATCAATGGCTGAAGAAGAAGAAAAAACCAGGARGGAAATGCACTTGGAGCCATTTGGATATGCGTCTTGTTTTATAAAAACATACAGGCTAAAGAATAATTAGGCTTTTGTAGTCCAGATAATTTTGGAAGTGCATTACCAACCCCTGACTGCTTTCATTCTCCACATGCGTTTCACAAATGAGCAGAGATGCAGTGGATGGTGCACCTCATCATTATTTGGTCCGATAAAACTCTTAAGTCTCTTCGACTAAAAGCATATGTTAGAGCTTGTCTGGATATAAACTTGACTGATGATTTTGTCTTAATGCTGACTCGAGGCAACCTTTTAGCTTCACTTTAATTGCCTGCTCTTCTAATTCTTTTGTTATGTTGCCTTTAAAGGCTTCTTGTGAGCTCCTTCTCCTAAATTCACAAACACAAACTGTCCGGCTTTAAGAAAGAAGGGGAAACATCACTGTTATGTGTACACAATTCAATTTATTTGGGATTTAGCGGTACAGACATCTATGTTCCCCAGATCCAATTGGATTAGGTGCTCTCCTCAGTTTGTATCAAGCACAAAAAAAAAAAATCCCAGCAACCCCTGGGACGTCACTTTGTACAACATCTAACTTTCATACACTGCAAAAAAACTGTCCACCTAACCAAGTTTTAAAATCTTATATCAGCCAAAAAGTCTTTTTGATCTTGTTTTGAGACTGATTTACTAAACAAGAACTGATTGTGTAAGAATAATCATCTTGTTTTCAGAACATGTAAGATTATTTGTCTTGTTAGTCTGAAAATTTGACTCAAATTAAGTCAAAATTTTTCTGCCAATGGAGTAAGAAAATTTTACTTGATAAGATTCTTGAAATACTTGATTTGACTCATTTTTTTCTTATTTCAAGAATCTTAGCAAGTAAAATTTTCTTACTCCACTGGCAGAAATTTTTGACTTAATTTGAGTCAAATTTTCAGACGAACAAGACAAATAATCTTACACATTCTGAAAACAAGATGATGATTCTTACACAATCAGTTCTTGTTTAGTAAATCAGTCTTAAGACAAGATCAAAAAGACGTTTTGGATGGACATAAGATTTTAAAACTTGGTTAGGTGGACAKTTTTTGCGGTGTAGCTCTTAGCTCCATTTGTTATCATTTTTTGTTTCACTTTTGAACGGCAGCATTTGCATGTATATATTGCAGCCTGCACATAGAATAATAGGAAATGCAAACAAAGTGAAGGCCTGGCATTGTTTGAAAGAACCACCTTCATGACGGATCTTAAAACTAAGCTAATTTGATGCTGAAGGGTCAGAGTATGTTTGGTTCAGCCTTGTACATGACGTTATGTATAATCTCATCATTTTGTGAGGTTTTGACATTAAAGCACTCTGAGGATTAGTTGATGATGCTATTTATACTACCACACACAATATTTGCTGAGTATCTGTAAAATGTACTGAATTGGAGCCATTTTGTGGTGGCTATTGATTGGCAGTGGTATTAATTATACATTGGGTTGACTAAAAGTGAAACAGCTRTAGATTGATACCCAAAGGATTCATTTCTAAAAGTAAAAATAAATGTTTTGTTTAGTAAAATATCTTGCAAAAAATGGACACAGCTGACTCCAAAAATCAATAGCAGTTTTAAAAACAGGTCTTGTTTATATTGAGAATGACTAATTAGCATGTTTCCTATGTTAATGGGATATATTAATTTATACCAAACAAATTAGAATAGACTGTTTCGTGCAATGCCTGATTCTAGATATGAACTTTGCAAAGTGCTGAAAGAAGGATCATTAAGTAAACCTCTGATGTTGGGAGGGCCTCATCATCCAGGTTGATGAGTTAAGTCACCTTTGTGCCTCAGGCTCACATCAACACTCCACCGAGTCGGGCTGATAAAATAGAAGCAGAGGACAAGTCAGGTCAGAGTGGGCTTTCTAAAGCAGGCTGGGGTCATTCAGCGTCTGCAACAGATCACTCAGTGAGCTCCATCACTCAGTGGCTGACAGCAGCTGCATGTTGTTTGGATAAAGACAAAATGATTTTAAAAAAAGGATCAAACCATAAGAATTTCAGCCAAAGTTTAACAGTTGAATGTAAATATATTTAATTCACTTTAAGAGCCCGTTGTTTGAATTTGTTTCCATAAAAAGCTTTTGTCACCTTTTTTTTTTTACAGTAAGTGTGAGCATGACAGTTCAACCGTAACGCCACCGTCATTTCTATTTATGTACAAGTGCTTGTTTAAATATTTTTTTTTCTGGATTTGGTCTGATACTTCATGTTAAATAAACAAAATAAATTGAAGGGAGTCAAACTGCTTGCTGTTTTTCTTGAAACTAAAAAAAAAACATCCTTTTACAAACAGATTAAAAGCTGTTACAAATTAAAGGTCGAGCATTTCCTGAAATACTGCACATCACCCTCCAGTTTTAACATTTTAAATAAGAACATTATGATGAGGAATACCAATGAGCGACAAACCTTTTAGTCAAACTTTGTAAATTATTTTTTCCATGATTTACACAAGATTTTACAAGATGAATTCATGAGAATTTTCTTTAACGGTACAGAAAAATCAACTATTTTGACATATATGCGCACTATTGCCGTTCATTTTTGGTGGTGTAGACAATAAATAATTTCCATCTTGATTAGTGCCAGTTCTTGTTTAAKTTTAGTTGCAAAAGAGAAAATATTGTTCTGATTGTGGTAATCAGTAGCTTCCCACATCACTGCAGAAGGTGCCGGCAGTCACAGGTTATAGCTGGTTAAAACAGAAAACAAGGGTCTGAAGGCGCCTTTCAAGGAAATCTCATTTCCTTTAAAATACAGCAGAGCTCTGGGAATTTTTGGATTCATCCAGGCATGGATCACAGAGYGCTTCATTACCTCTGAGCCGCATGCTGTGCAGGCTTACCCGTGGATAAAGAAAAAGGCACTCCCTTAATCTGGCAATAATCCACCATTTTACTGAGGGAAAAGAAGATGAGGGCTAAATTATAAAAACCAGATCACCACAGCTCTTTAAAATAATACTATGAGCTCGACAACGATTCACTCCCTGCGTGATGTTTTGGCTTGGAATGGGGCAATTAAGTGTGGGAGGTTTGTTGTCTACAGTGGGTTACATGGTTTTCCTTTTTGTTCCCACAGAATTTGAAAYATATTTCTGAATGGACCAATTGTGATCAACAATATAAGCACATTTGTAAACAAAAGCATAATATTCTCTTAGATTCATAAATAAACAAAAAGAAAAAAAATGGAACAACCAAATTGAAAAAAAAAAACAGAAAAGTAATTGAAGCCAAATTGTCCAGTTTTAAAATAAAAAAGTGTTTAAGTTGAGCAATATTTTTAATCTCTTGTCATTTATACCAAAGTGTTTTGTGTAAAATATTRGCTTCTGACAAAGAGGCCCCACACACTCCTGATCATGAGGGCAGAGGGTTAAATTTGTTGTCTGATCTTCAGAAAACCCTGACGGACGAAGCAGAAATAATTTGCATGGAAACATGAAGTCTTTGAAGACTTATCTGTCTACACACAAACGCTTTGGAAGGATTATGTGTCATTTTTTATGCATAAAATTTTGAGTATTAAAATGATCTCATTTTATTACGTTCAGAATGACTCATTACAATAGTCAGCTTTACTTTTTTGACTAAAACAACGTTTTGGGATTTTGAAAAATTCCACGTTCTAATGTAGCTGATTTTTCTGTCTCAGCTGTATGTTTTATAAATTGCACCATTTCTCTGAAAATTGTGAAATTCTATGCAAAAAGCCCACTTTATTTTTGAACAAGTCATARTTTATTGCTTATCTTAATAACGCATTTGAAAGCAACATTGTTTCCTCTCAGGTTGTTCCAACATGCAAATGAAGTTGTAAATCCCCACCACAGCACCAAAAATTTACTCTTCCACCACAAAAATACACTGTATTTTTAGTGGTGTATTGTTGCATTTGTGTGGATAAGGTTTACTGAGAAATATTCTTCCAGCTGCTTTTACTGGGCTTTACCTGCAATGTRCCTCCTGCAACACATTCCCAGGTTGTGGTTTCTTCCGGCCTCCTCATAGCCTGACACTACCAGGAACTTTGAATTTACATGGTATGCTGTTCAAAATATTTGATTGGTTGKCTTATTTTGATTGACACCTTTTCTGACCAACTGGGTTCTATTGGCTCTTCAGAACCCAACATATGTGTCAAGCTTCTCTTGTTCCTGCCTGCACAGGTGCTTGATTGACTGTAGAATCAGCCAATCAGCTCTGAGCTTCATTCTGACACCACAGCTGTGTAGCCAATCAAGTTACCTTTTATTGGATGTAGCTTTAGGAGGGATACTACTTAAATAAATGTTTGATGTGTCAGCCATTTATATACATACATACATATATATATATATA